CCAGGGTGTATACCTGGTGAGGAGGGACTGTGTTGGGTTGCAGATGGATGGCCCAGTACTTCCACCTTGCTGGTCCCTCAGAGCCCAGGATCTGAAGGAGGGCCTGTGGTACCCCAGGACACTCCCTGGGGAAGGAGCCTATCCACCCTTAGTCTCGCCCATTAAAGCAACCGCCTCTCATGGTGCTCTTTGTCCCCACCTGGCACTCCTGGGCACTGGAGCTCGCCGCACCCTCCACTCTTGCCCTCTGGGGAGGGGGCCAGGGTGCTTTGGAAAGGGGGTCGGGTGGGGCAAGGAAGTTAGGACAATGGCTTCTTTCTTCAGGCCAGGTAGGCGTGGCTGGGGAACCCCAGGGCAGGGGGTAATGCTGAGTCACTGGGCCTGGGCCTGGCTGCACCCCTGCCTGCCAGTCACCCCCCTACCGTGGGTACATACGCGAGGGAGCGCACGCGTGCGCGTGCGCACACACACACACACACACACACACACACACACACACACACGTCTAACCTGACCTGGGTCCATAGCTCAGGGGCTACCTCTGGATCCCTCAGACCTAATCACAAACAGTCCCTAGCCCACACCTGAACTCTCACTTCCACACCTCCAGCTGGGCCCTGAGCTCCTGCTCAACTGAACTGTCTCAGGGAGGTCTCGCTGGTGGCCTTGTAGGAATCTGGCCCATCTGTCCAGCATCTCTGCACCTGGCAAGTGCCTAACAACTGCTAGCTGGAGCCCAGCACTTGGACGGCAGAGGCAGGAGGATCTCTGCCAGTTTCAGGCCCACCTGCTCTACATGGGAGACCTGATCTCAAAAAGAGAAAACACTATCAAGACTGACCAACCAGATGACCAAGTGTCGTCCTCCCCCCCTCCCCCCCCTCTCTGTTATGGGAAAAGAGAAGAGCAACTCTGGAGCAGAGTAGAAGGAAGGCACAGGCCCACTCCATGGTCCCTCCCTCCCACCTGTCCTGTCCTGTCCTGTCCTGTCCTGTCCGCCACATGGCTCACCTGGTGAAGCGAACCTTGCAGATGTTGCACTCGTAGGGCTTCTCTCCTGTGTGTGTGCGTATGTGGCGGGGCAACTTGCCTGCGCCCTGGATCACCTTCTCGCAGATGGGACACTTCTGGAAGGCCTTGGCCCGGATCTTCTTCTCTCCCTTCTGTGACCAAGCTGGGTACACGTCACCCTCATGAGCACTGCTAAAGTACTTCAGATAGTAGTCCATGACACCCTTGTCGTCCGCACGGGACTCCTCGTCGCTGTCCCCTGCCCGGCTCACCGACGACATCATCTGCTGCAGCAGCGTGCTGGCTGCCAGCCCATCCACGTCGGCCGTGTCACCGTCCTCGCCCTCAGCTGCGCCTGACAGGAAGCCCGGGGAGTCACCAGGCTCAGGGGCTGCCTCTGACAGTGATGTCGCCTCCTCTTCCCCAGGCCCTGCACGGCCATAGTGGCCATTCTGTGTGGCGGCCGGTGGGGCGGCAGGCGGTGGGAAGAGCCCTCCGGCCTGGGTGTCCTCGTCCCGCTCGGGCCACAGCCCTGAGGTGCTGTCACCCTCATCCCCATCAACTGTGGGGGGACGCTCGGCCGGGGGCCCCGGGCCGTAGAAGTCCAAGCCATTGCAGTCGCCCGCAGCCGCGGCGGCCACAGCGGCAGCCACAGCATCCTTGGTGGCATCCAGGTCATCGTCAGGGCCCCCTAAACTGGACCACGAAAAGGCAGCAGGGGGCAGGCTGTTCATGGGGTTGCTGCGGAAGAACTCCAGGTACTCCTTGGCACGCAGCAGGTTGCGCTGGTCAGTGGGTCCCACCCCGTCAGGCTGGCCCGTGTCACCAGCGTCATCGGCAGCCAGGATCTGGCGCTCTAGCAGGTCTGCGCACACGTGGCTCACGGCTGGGATCTCCAGCAGCCGCGCTGCACTCAGGATGTCGCCCACATTGGCCGTGCTGACCGTGAGCGTGGCCGTGTAGGCGAAGTCCATGAGCGCCGTCAGCGCCTCGGCGCTCACAAAATCGATCTCGTACACGTTCTGCTGGTCCACGACAGCGCCCGATGTGAATAGCTTCTTGAAGTACTGGCTGGCGGCGGCCAGCACCGAGCGGTGCGTGGGGAACTCGCGGCCCTCCACCAGGATCACCACGTCGCACAGCAACCCCTGCGTCCGCTGCTCGTTCAGGCCGCTCAGGATGTCGCTGCTATGGTCCGGGAAAGGGATCCCGATGGGGCCGTCCACGCCGCCAGCCATCTTCCGCGCCAACACCTGCAGGGAGGGGCGGCCATCAGAGGAGGGTACTCTTCCTGGTCTCCCCAGCCTCAGTTTCCCCAGGGGGAGCTCCCGTACCTCCCAGTCCCTGCTTAGTACCAAGACCCCAGACGTGGTAGACGAAGAAGCCAGAGAATGGCTGGGGACTCCCTGTGCCTGCAGACTCCTGGGGAGTAAAGCCACCCATCCATGCCCCACAGTGAGGCCAGCCCCTGCCCCCTCCAGACCTGTACACTTGGGGTGCCCCCTTTCTGTCTTGAGCCCTGGCCAGATCCAGCCAGTGAGTAACAGGGGAAACCTAACTAGAGCCAGGCCACGCCCCACGCAGGGCAGGGACAGGGCCTGCTGTCCACCTTGCTATGCTGCCCAGGGTGGCGCTCAGCATGCACCAGACCTCAGTTTCCCCTCCTGGCAAATGGGCACCTGTCCCTGGAGGAGCCTGGCAGGGGGTTACCGGACTGTCCCACCCGTCCCCACCCCTCCTCTTCTCTGCCCACCCCCCCAAGCTGTGACTCATCTGCCCACAGCCTTGTGCAACCCTCTGGCGCTGTCCCCACCCCTCCGCCCTCTCCAGGGAGCCAGGCTGCCCTTCGCCACCCAACAAGGCCCACATTCCTCCAGATCCTCCTACCTGCCACTGTAATGCCCGGGGCCACTGGACGTTGTCCTCAGAAGGGACAGAGCCCAAGCCGCACCCTCCTCAGCCTCCTAAGGCTTCTGGGCTCCTCCTGTACCCTGCCTGGCCTGGCCCTCACCCAGAAGTTCCAGAGGGAGGCACCGTCCATGGTGGGTCTCTCCCCATAAGAGTGGCCATGACACAGAGTCCTTTGTGCCCCTCAGCCACCGCCCACCCTCTCTTCCCGCCCCACCAGCTGCTTGAGCAGAGCCCACCCCTCACCCCCGCACAGGGGAGGGAGGCTCAGATGTGACTGCAGGCACTAGGGGGCCAGAAGGGGAACCCTACGCCAGGCACAGCCCTGGGAAGCCTCGAGGAGCCCCCACTGGTGGCTTCCACCCCCTGCCACCATCTGCCGTCTGGCCCCCAGCCTCGGGAACATGTGGGCAGACAAGACAAGCCTGTTCCTCCCACCACTGCCTGCCACTGAGAGGGAAGGGGCACATGACCCCAAAGATGTCCCCCAGCCAGGGTGACACAGGTCCCTTTGGAGATGGCTGAAAGGTGTCCCTCAGGGGCCCCCAGGGCCTGAAAAAGTACAAGTGAGTCAGCCTGGCTGTCGCCTTGGGCACAGCCACCCTGGCTTCCCACCAGGCATGGAGCTCCAGGGCCAGGGGCTGCTGAAGCCCTATTTTAAGTTCGAAGGAACCCGGGCTCCAGCCTGCAGGATGTGGCTGGGAAACACAGGATCAGAGGAGCCAGCCCCTGTATCACATCACACACACACCCCCACTGACAAAGGTGATACGAGGCCCAGAGAGAGCTGGGCAGCTTAGTGAGGCCATCAGCAGGACTATCCTTCTGTCACCTTCTGGGTCCCAGGACCCCTGCAGACAGATGACCCAACTTTTCTCCAGGAACAAGCACCATGTGCCATGCCACACCCTAGGCCTCAGCACCACCTGGAACTCTGGGGGCCTCAGGCAAGGAGCAGGCCCTGAGACCCAGCCACATCCCCTGGGACATACAGGTGCCTGGAAACCACACCAGGCACCTGTAAGCCACATCAGTCAACCATGAGTCCTGAGGCTGCCCAGCTCGAGGGCTAGGTCCCTTCTCAGGGAGACCTTCCCAACACTGGGGTCCCCGCATGACAGCTCCTGCCTGTGCCTGCCTCCGTGGGATTTCTGGGGCTGTTCAGTCTGAGTCGGCGGCCAGGCAAGGGGCAGGCCCTGGCAGGCCCTTTCTGGGTTGGAGAGGTGGGGCACCCTCTCTTGGGGCCAGGCCATATAGTAGGGTCACAGCAAAAGGTCAGATGAACCAAAGACCCAGGCCCACACCCTGCTCCACCCACCTGGCAGGCTGACACACCCAGTATCAGGGGACGGCTGCTGGTCCCACCTCTCTAACCTAGGGTTACTCGCTGCAACTTTCCAGACCATCAGGAACTGATCAGGCGCTCTCCTCCTTCCCATTTTTCTTCCACAGCCCCAAAAGACCCAGAGAGACAACACAGATAGCCAAGGTCACACAGCATACAGGAAGGACCCAGGGACTGAGGAAAGGAGCTCAGGCGTAGGGACAGGCCTGAGCAAGGCTGGAGGTGGGGGAGGTGTAGAAGTCTAAGTCTGGGGTCTTCCCAAGGTCACACAGGTGAAGGTTAGGGCTGGCCTCCAGGTCCCACCCTCAGGAAGGAAGAGGGGCTTCTGGGAAGAGGTTAGGCAGAGAAACTGCCACCCACCACCTTCCTGAACACTCCAGGGGGTGGGACCAGCTCAACAGAGGTCAGACTCCACCCCACCCACCTTCCACCCTCCATTGCCAGGGTTCCTGGATGAGCTCCTACCAGAGGCCACGCCCTTCTGGACCTCAGTTTCCTTAGAAACTCTGGCCAGCAAGTGTCCAGCTGTGGCCTGAGCCCACATGGCACGCCACTGCTTCGGTGCCCACCAACCATTGGGGATATGGAGCTCCTCACAGTTGCCTTCACTAGGCCCAGAGAGGGTGGGCAGCATCTCCAAGGTCACACAGCAAGCCTGGCTGCAGGTGCAGCCTGCCAGGCCCATGCCCTGAGGCCCCCGCCCCCTCCCAGCCTATGTTGCAAGTTTGGTCCCCACGGGTTACAGAGCCCTGACCTAATGCCAATGCCCGCCTGGTCTGGTCCCTGGTCTAATGGGACAGGAATTCAGTGGGGGTGCATGGGCAGCCCCCTGACCGCCAGTCCAACTCAACTAGGTAGCAACAGAGGGCCAGGCAGGGTTCAAGCAGGCCCCACCATTTACTGTGCATTTATTGCCATAATGGGGAGGGGCTTCCTGCCCGGGGGCCTTAAAGGGCCAGAGGCAGGAAGGCAGCCAGCGCAGTGGGAAGTGTGTGCGTGTGGGGGCGGGGACAGGCAGGCCTGTGGGGAGACCAGCTCCAGGGTGGGGCCCAGGCCCACCCTGTTCCCACGCTCTGAGGGCCACTCATCCAGGAAGGCCACAAGTGAGGCCTAAGCCAGTTCCAAGTGGAAGCCAGGACCTTCCCCGAAGTGGAGGGAGTGAGGCTCTTGATGCTGGGAGCAAACCAAGACTAACTGAGAGGACCCTGTCACCTCCTGCCAGAACTGAGCTTGGCTGCACCGGTTATCCAGGATACCCACAAAAAGCAAGTCTGAGGGAATCTAGCAGGACCCTCCTTCAACCAGGAGTGCTGCCCCCCAGGTTCCTGGGTGGACCAGCATCCTGCAGAATTTGCAACCTTCTCTCTCAGACACATCCTGGCTCACAGTGGCCCCAGCCTGTTTCCAGTCAAACCAGAAAGGTGTGGGTGGGGACGGCCAAAGAGTGGCCCAGCCCCAGCCTGCTGAGGGGACAGATGGAGGGGCCGGTCCTCAGGCCACACGGTAGGTGTTCAGAGGCTGGACCCAGACATGGGGGTGCAGAGAGCTGATCCACCCACATCCCACCCGAGCACACGGGACACTCCCGGGATGGGATCTGGAATCAGGGACCCAATCAGAGGGGGAAGCCACCGGTGCAGAGCTACAGAGCCAGCTGGAATTTGAACCTGGCTGGTCTTGCCTAACTTGTTCTTCCCAGGGCGCCTCTCCCCTCCCCCAACACAGCCCCTAGGGAGCTCAGGGCACAGGGGCCCTGGCCTCTGGGTAAGTCATGGGGCAATATCACCTAGGGGCTGGCAGGCCTGTGGTCTCTCCACCAGTTCAGTATGGCAGAGTCGCTCCCACCCATCAGTCGCTCCAAACCTGTTCCAGGTTGGCTGAGCAAAGTCCGAAAGAGGACACGGTCAGGGAAACTGAGGCAGAGGGGGAAATGTGGCCCCTCTGTGTGGGTGGCAGACCCTGCCTCAGCTTGCTCTTCTGCAGGGCCTATGATGGCCTTGAGTCAGGAGCCTGAGGCACAAGAAGTGGGGCAAGGCCAAGGTGGCTCAGATGGCAGAGACCCACGCCCAACTCCCAGCAGACCCTGGGGTGCCCTGAGTTGGCCCCAGGGAACTTGAGAGGGTGCAGAGGAACCTCATGGGGGGAGGGCTCTGAGATAACAGTTGAGAGCCAGCCCATTCAAAGTCACCTGTGGACCCCTCCCCACGTCAGGCCCTGGGAAAGTAACTTCCGTCCCTTCTGGAATGATCACAAGAAACCACAGCTCTGCCAGATTTGGGGACCAGGTGTGGAACTATGGTATTGTGGTTTTAGGGTCGAGATGCATACTGCCCACCAGGTGCCAAGCCCACAGGGTGACAGATGCATGGGACCAGTGGGCAGGAGTAGGGTTCCAACTGTGTGACCTTGGAGTCTCACTATCCCTCTCTGGGCTCAATGTCATCATGGGCAGAGTCCCGATGATGGTGACAGGTGTCAGTCACTGCATCCAGGCCCCAACAACAGCCTCTCAATCTCTTGGAAGAGATAACCCCAAAACATTCCAAATTTCTGCAAAGACCCCTACACTGAGAGGGAGGACCACCAGGGACATGACCTTGAGTCTACCCATCCTTCCATGTCCCTCTGCTCCGAAAAGACCCTGGCTCACAGGGAACCTCCTCACTCCAAGCCTCGGTTTCCTTCTATGTGACGAGGACCGAGCCATAGGTCACACAGCCTCGAGGAAAAGAACAGAGTGCACCCAAAGGCACAAGGACGAGGAACTCCTGCCCAACAGCCGGCCCCACACAGGGCCACACTGGCCCTGCCTCTCAGGCCTCAGTGTCCCCAAACACTCCTGAAACCCGAGGTGTATGGCTGCCCCACACAGGGCCAGGAGCTGAATGGCCTCCGCCACCGCCAATCTCAACTAAATAATAAATACCCCCACCCTCAAAGTGACCGGCAAATTAAAATTTCAGTGTCCCCGTTGGATCCTGTTTCCTGCCTCTCTTGCAGCGTAGCCTGTCCCCTCCCCTCCCTCCCGCAGGCCGTCTCCACAGCAATGCCTGCCGGTAAACAGAGCCCCGAGCCCAGCCCCGGAGAGGTGCCAGGGCCCAGCTGGGGGAGCCACTCGAGTCCCTCCGGGAAAGGTGTGGGGTGGGGAGGTGACCCTGGGGTGAGCAGATGTCCCCGACTGGGAGAACCCCGTGCAACCTAGGGCCTAGCCTGAGCCAAGAGGAAGGGCCTGGGACCTCTCCCACCACAGCCCTGCCAATTGCAAGGAATCATCTCGGTGTCTGGGGGGGGGGGCTCCCCCTCCTCAGCGTGGGAGCGGCCACTCAGGGTGACGCCCTGGGCCCAGGCTTGGGGGAAGGTGGGGGGGTTGGCTTGCTGACATAGGAGGCCGGAGTCACCCTCGCCCGGGGAAGCAGCTGTGGCAGGAGGGAGGGGACACGGGTTTCCGCCAAGTCTGTCACCCATGGGTGCTGAGCTAAGTAGGTCTGCTTGGAAGGGGAGAGAAAGGAGAGGAGGGAACTAGGGAAGCCATTT